CTTAAGGCCGCGCCGCCCGCGCATGCGTTGTCCGCCCACAGCGCCACCCGGCGGCGCGGGCGCGTGCCCGGCCACCCCCTTCCCCGCCCCCGCCCACGAGCCAGGCATGCGTCGTCCGGTCCGCAGCGTTCAGGTGTGGGCGCTGTGCAGCCCAGTCAACCTGGAGGGACTGGTGAGGCATGTCCGGCAGAGTTAGGTAATAACTAATTTGAATAATGACTGCATTAGTGTATCATTCCGCTGGTATTGACTGTCAGGTGATGGGCACTGGGTAGGCGCCTGGTACACGCTGGGGATTGAGGCGTGACCCTGCTCTGGAAGAGCCTAGATAACATCCGACAGATACTGCACTGGCGAACGGGAGTGCCACAGTCGAGGTGCTGTTTGGCAATTCCGTCAGCCCTTCTCCGCGGCCTCCCTACCATTTATCCATTCGTATTCAGTGTGTGCCTACCATATGCCCAGTCTTCTATGCGCTGAGAAAGGATGCCTTTACGGAAGCTACACTAATATATTACCCTTTACTTTAGACTCAGTTCGTTGCTCCCCTCTGACTTTCCTCCCTCATTAAAGCCTCTTTTTCTCTCCTCCGAACCGCCCTGTAAACCTCTCTGTCACCTCTCTGGTATTCAGATTCTCTGTCTTGTGTAATTGTTATGGCTTTTTAATGCACGTTATTGAATATCCTTTCAACTACACTGGAAGTTCCTCGAGGATAGAGATGATGTCTTCAATGAGTTTGGGGGAAAAGCCACTCAATCTCTTGTGCATAGTAATAACCAATAAATATTTTTTATTGTATTTGGTCCAATTCTTAAAATATTTTAGGGAAGACCAGAACATATAAAAAATACTTTTACAGGAATTCATGGTGTTGCTAGAGACTTGTAGTGTTGGCAGAAACTGGCCCTCTATGATCCCTGCCTTTCAGAGCACACCTAGCCTGATGGTACTCTATCAATATTGGCCAGCCCGGTTATTAGGGACTCTGTTGCCTGTAACACAGCCCATGCTCAGTGATATTGAGTTCAGTAACAAAATCCTAGGATGTGGCAGCAACTCTTGCAGCACTTTCAGCAAGCTGTGCTGGTAAGCATGCACCTCAGAGGTGTTTGTGAACCTGGAGCCTGCTCTCATAGATATCGGTGGCTGCTGCATAGTAAAAAAAGAGATCATTGATCCAATGCCGGAGTTTATCCAGAAACTGACAGAACAGTGCATAAGGCTATGGGGCTTCATGATCTTCCCCAGCTCTGTGGGTAGCTCTGGCCCAGGCTTCACCTTGCTGCTGATAAAGGAGCTGTCCTTGACTCTGTCAAGAAGTCCAAGCTGAAATCAGCGATTCATCCAGCCCTGGGTCTTGCCAGCAATGACAGAGCCCTGCCACTACGTCCTGACCACCATTCTATCCTGGAGCCCTTTGACTGTGTCTTCTTGGGGAGAATGAGGCCAACATCTGTTGCTGCAACCTGTACCTCAAGGGCCCCACCTACACCAGCCTCAGCCACTGCTTGGGCCAGACCTTCTCCATCCCTGCTTCCCTGCACTTTGACAGTACCTTGAGAGCAGATCTCCCATAGTTTAAAAGCCAATCTGGTCCCCACCTCCAAATCCGTGTCCTTTTGGTGATCTACTAATCACCAAGTGCTGTAATTTAAATAGGTTGAGAAAGCAAGTGTGGCAGACTCTAATCTGCATGCAGACTTCCCGAGGATCTTGTTAAATCACGAGTCTGACTCTGCAGGTCTGGGGTAGAGCCTGAGATTCTCTATATCCAACTGGCTCTCAGTGATTGCCTATGTTTCCGCTGCTGGTCAGCAGACTACCCTTTAAGTAAGGAAGCACTAGAGCAGCCCTGGCTGCTAGAATGTTCTACAAGATGTACATGTTCTAGACACTCACTGTTTAATACAGTAGCCATTAGCCACATGTGGCTATTGGGCATTTGAAATTTGACTAGTGTGATTGAATTTTTCATTTTAATTTTAATTAACTTAAAATTTAAAGCCATGCATTGCTTATGGCTACTATGTCGGACAAGCAAGGTCTAGATCTCACAGTTCACATCTAAAAAAATGAGACTTTGAGACTAGACAGTTCCCAAGATCCCTTCTAATGTTCTGTGGTTCCAAGTTGTTTTCAAGGTATGTATGGGGAAGGGGTGGGAACGGGATTGATAGATATTAAAGTCTGGAGTAAAGCATGGGAGATTGAAAACTCCACCATGGCTGGATGGAGGAAGGAGGAAGAGGAACGTGATCCCCTAGATTCTAGAACTCAGTGATAGAGCAACCCTCCAGAGACAGGAGACTCTGATTAACCAATGAGTGTTAATTAAGTTCTCAGAACCAGATAAAATGCCTTCTTCAGTGAGACACAACCACCAGGCCATAAAGGAAAAGAGTTATTAAGTTAACCAGATCAAAATTTAAAACATCTGTGTGAAAAAATACACACTAAAACAACGCAAAATTGGTACGGACTAGAAAAATCTATTTTGAACATGTTAAGAAACCAAGGTTTAATATCTTCTATATGTAAAGAAAAAATGAATAAGAACAAAAGTAAAAATAGATAAAAAGTCCTTCTCAGAGGAGAAAATCCTCAAGCCATAAATAGCCACAAGATGCTCAGACTCACCAGTGATCAGGGAAATGCAAATTTGAGCCATGATGACATCAGTGGAAAAGGTACTAAATATTGGCAAGGACGTGGATCAGTGGGGAGTGTTTCTACCCAGTTGGGGG